ATCGTAGCAATCCATGTACAAAAGTGGAAAAGAAAAAAAATAAAAATAGAACTTACAATAACATGGTAATTTTTGGCCACAAGTGGAGAGGCGGTGAAGTCCCAACTCCCCAATCCCCATTTATATATAACACAAAACACTTTCTCGACAAAATCCCCCTTTTATACAAAACTTCAACACCAATGAAACCCCCACAATATCATCACATGTAAATAACTCATGGAAGAAATAATGTACAACTAAACTAGGAAAAAAATTAAAGAGAAATGAGTAAGAATATGATAGTTTGAGAAGAAGAGGCAACTATGGCAGAAATCGATGGGAAGTAACAAGCAAAACGTGACAACACAGTATAGATGATGGTCGGTGATGGAGATTCCAACAATTGGAGGAGCAACAGCCGATGACGAGAGGAAGAGTCAAAGGAATCTAGGGTTTAAAAGTAATGATACGGGTTTGGATAAGCCACCCTAACTCAGTTGCAAAATATGAAAAATCGGGTTGTTTGAGTCAAGTTAACCAATAACCCGAATGACCCTACCCGGAACCCAACTAAAAAAAAATTAAAAATCAATTGTTACACGAAAAAGATAGCATTTAATAGGTTATAGATTTCCCCCCTTCCAAAGACTATTGGTAATCATTGGGGCTCAAACTCAATTCCCAAACTTCTATCATATAAACCACACCAAAATTTCCTAACTTTTTTATATATGATAAGTTTTTGACAAATCAAATTCTTCCATAATTCATAGTTTCAGGTGAGTTAAATTGACATTCAATGTTTCATTTAATTCTAAATGATTTTCAATAAATAAATATATTACGTTAATCAACTCGTGGAGCAGAACATGAATATGCTAGGTCCTATTAAAATTAAAGTATGAATCCCACTGAAATTTGGGCTCAAATTTGACCCATTTCACTAACAATAACCATTTTCCAACAATTTTTAGATTAGTTAATGGGATGGTATGTCAGCTATTTCTTTGACATGAACATAACATCTAAAGCTTTATTGTTTTCCTATTCTACATGCAATACATCAGTTGCTTTCTCACTACTATTCTTACCTCACTTTTCTGTTAGTATTTTTTAAATTACGTAGCATGTTTCTTTATAAGAGAATACACTAACTTTGCATTTATATGCTGCACTTATACTAAAACTAAATAAGAAAGCATAGGTTAATTTGAGGAAACTGAACCTCCTAACATGATATTGGTGTACCAATAAACTTTCCAATACAACCCTAGTTGCTAAATAATCTCATTCCTTGTCATTCATTTATTTTGGGGAATTCGTCCAAATGGCTAGGTTTAGCAATAACTTTGGAGACAATTTTTTGATGCAATTATCAAAGATGATGGGTGGCTAATCGATGACGTGTGAGTTTTTGTTGGTGATTTATGTGCATTATACAAATTATTCACTTATAAAATCTATATTTGTTTTCAGAGCACATCAAAGAAGGGCCATGATTTTGACACATGAAAGGATGTCAAACGACGTAGAGAAGGACTATACAATTAGTTTAATTCATCCCTAAAAGGTGCATTGATAAAGAGGACCGTAAAGTTAGATCCTTTTAAGAAATTGTTGTATAGGCTTAATTAGTAGTTATTTATTTGCTTTTCATTGATGGATATACAAGACTCGTTTCTGGCAATAGCTCTATTATACTCACAAAAAGATATAAAGAAACTCCTAAACTCGAAAAAGAAACCGTTCTTGCAAAAACTGTCATCACGCAGAAAAGTAAATCAAGCCACTTTTGCCACCACAGAAAGAGCAAAAATCAGATCTATTTCCATTTGCCCTTCATTAGAAGAAACTCCAATGGCTCAAGAATGCTTCCTCCTCAGGAGGCAAACCAATTTTCTTTTTTATTATTTATTATTTTTTATTATAGAGTTATATGCAACACTCATTTTCATGTACAAGTAGGTCTGTAGGTGAAAAAAGAGCAACTTTGGCACGATCTCGATCTTGTAATCTTTTGTAGGGAATGGATTGTCATAACGTTTTCATATCTTTAATTGAATTTTTATTTGTATTGCTTTTCGAATCATTTTGTCTAATAGGTATAATCTCAACTCTCAAGTCAGATTGTTGGTCTTTGTTTATTAGGATCGATTGTGAAAAAATGTTACCAAATCTCTTAAGTTAAATTTGAATGTTATGACTTTATAGACTTTCAATAATTTAAAAAAATAAAATAAAAAAATGGAATTGTCATCTTAGTTCTCTACAGCTTTTGGTAACCAAATTTGAGACCTTCGTTTCAAGAATTGTATGACTGCCTCAAAATGCATACTAAAATAGGATGTAGAAAATGGAAATTCTAGAATTTTTCTCTAATTTTCATTTCATGTTTGAGCAAAAATCGATTCAAGTTCTTCAAGATGGCATATGGAATGCCTCATTATGGCCCCCAACTCGACCTCTAATAAATTCATATCATTAAATGATCAAAATGAAGGGAATGACAAGCTTTGCTACATAATTGAAAGATTGATGATAGATTTTGCTACAGAGGTTTTTGGGTATATTTGTTATATTTTAAAGAGATAGAGGATTAAAAGTGCAAATTTCCCAAAAAGTTTAACTTTACCGGAAATGTCGTCAATTTTAGAGCAATGCAATACAATTTTAGGGATTTGTCTTTCGACTATTTCAACACTCTTGTACATTTTCCACTAACAGTGCTTCCAGCACGATCACAATGGCCGTGAGCTCTCAATCTCCGTTACAGTTGAAGCTCCGCCACATCTCGACCACCAACTCTACCACGCAGCCACACCCCACCGTTACTTTCTTTCCCAAATCCCACCTCCAGTCGTCCCTCAAATTCAACATCTCCGTCTCAGCAGTTCCTAAATCTGTGGCCATCACAGCCGATCCTGAACCTTGTTTCACCTCCGTCAAGTCTTTCGCCCCAGCTACCGTAGCCAATCTCGGGCCGGGTTTCGACTTCCTAGGCTGCGCCGTTGACGGAATCGGAGATTATGTTACCCTTCGGGTTGACCCGAATGTGCACCCTGGTGAGGTATCCATTTCTGATATATCTGGTGCCGGGTCCAAGCTTAGCAAGAACCCGCTTTGGAACTGTGCAGGTATTGCAGCCATTGCCGTTATGAAGATGCTTAAGATTCGATCTGTTGGGCTTTCCCTTTCCCTTGAGAAAGGACTTCCCCTCGGCAGTGGCCTCGGCTCCAGCGCAGCCAGTGCTGCCGCAGCTGCTGTAGCTGTAAATGAATTGTTTGGTGGGAAGTTATCTGTGTCCGAACTCGTCCTTGCTGGACTTGAATCAGAGTCGAAGGTGTCTGGTTATCACGCAGACAATGTGGCTCCCTCCATCATGGGAGGATTTGTTTTAATTAGAAGCTATGATCCTTTGGAATTGATGCAGTTGAAGTTTCCCCATGAAAGAGACTTGTTTTTCGTGCTTGTTAATCCGGAATTTGAAGCTCCTACGAAGAAAATGAGAGCTGCATTGCCACCGGAGATTACAATGTCCCACCATGTGTGGAATTGCAGCCAGGCAGGGGCATTGGTTGCATCGGTGTTGCAAGGGGACCTCGCAGGCTTTGGGAAGGCATTGTCATCGGACAAAATAGTGGAGCCAAGGAGAGCACCATTGATTCCAGGAATGGAGGCTGTGAAGAAGGCTGCAATTGAGGCTGGTGCATTTGGATGCACAATTAGCGGGGCAGGGCCCACTGCAGTGGCCGTGACAGATGATGAGGAGACTGGCCGGAAAATTGGGGAAAGGATGGTGGAGGCTTTTTTGGAAGGAGGGAATCTGAAGGCCTTGGCTATGGTCAAGCAACTTGATAGAGTTGGTGCTAGGCTTGTTAGTAGTATTCCCAGATAATATTGCTGACAAATAACTGAGGGTGCGTTGATCATTGTAATTGCAGTTTCCTTGGCTGCTAAAGAGCTGTCTTCTGATCATGCCATCCGTCATGATTTACTTTCCCTTGTTTGACTATCAATAATATTTATCAGTTATCATTAAGACAGTTTCTGCTAAAGTTTTTACATTTGCACATCTCATTCGGGATGTTTCTAGTGATTTATCGACATGCGCATGTATTAATTTCCAACCTCCAAAGTCTGATAATAGTTTGGATGATTGCAGTTTGTAACATCTTAAAGTTAAGAATGAAATACTGTGGAAACAGAAATAATATGGAAACTTATCCACCGGAAAGAAAACAAGGATATTTTCTGTGATTTCAGGTTTCTATCTCTCTCTCTCAGAGGCTGTTTTTCTTGCCTTCTGAGCTGGTCTAATGAGCTGCTAGGTGGGTTTTGCTCTACTTTTATGTGGTTTGTCCTTTAGCATTGAGTCTTGTGTGGCATTTTTGGAAGCTTCTTACAGTGAAAAGACTGCATTTTTAGGGGAAAAAAAAAAAAAAAAAACAATATTTACTTCCATCGTGATTTGGAATCTTGGCATATCTTCTGTTAATTTTATAGATCAGAATCTGCACCTAAATCATGGTTCACAGATTTATGTTTAATGGGATTTACTTATCCCACAGATGAAAAAATGATAATGTTTTTCTATGTACTAATCTAAGCTCTTTTATTTATCAATTTCTGGTGTTTTGTTGGGTTAATCTTCAAGCGGTAGTTGGAGGACTATGTTTGTTTTCAGCCATTTCTTAACCTTTTGTTTCTTTTCCTTCACTTCCCACCTGGGCAGTTTAAGAGTTGATTTTGGTCGGAAGCATTAGTAGAGTTAAGGGCACAAAATATTCTTGTTTAAATAATTCTCTTATATTTTCTTTTGTTATTGTGTTAATCTAGTGCAGAAGATTCAATTGAGATTCAAATCATAACTTGTCATGTCCCAAAAAATAATTGGTAAATTAAACATACAAATTTGTTGTAAATCTACTCAAATTTTGATCAAAATTTCGCTTCTACCATCAATAAATAAGTTTAGCCAGGGCGTTTATATGTTATAACAAGCCACAAACAGGCGTAGCTCGTTTCAAAGATAATAGGAATTGCCATTGCGGAGGATACTGAACAATTACATTATGCATTCAACGAGAAAAAACACGCAGAGGTAACAACTACATCTTTACAATAATTAAACCAAGTTCGCCACACGGTAATTTTTGGCCGACTCCCCTTAAAACAGGGAGAAAAGGGGAATTACAACGAAGAATTCCCTGATCTTAGGATATGCACAATCCAAGATATTAACGAGGTTTTGTCAACCTTCGATAGCTAGCAAATTTACCACACAGGCTTCTCACCAGGCAAGTAAGAAGGAGAAGCACCCTCCACTTGGTTCTTTTTCTTGAATATTCCAGTTAGACTAGGCATAAGAACTTTCTTTCTCAAGGAAGTCTTTGCTTTTTCTAGTTTTCGCGTGTCCTTTACTTTTTCTGGAAGATTCTGCTTTTGGATTTGGTAAATACGAGGAGATGATTGAAAAGACTTTTCTGTTTCTGCAAGAATCCGCGCTGCTGCTTCTGCTGCCTTCTTTTGCTCCTGTTCATGCCGCCTTCTAAGCTCTCCCTCGACCGCCTTCTTGGCTGCCTCTGCCATCTCTGCTTTCTTCAGTGCCTCCTTGGTAGCAGCTTTTATATCCTCGATCTCCTTCTGGGTAGCATCCAACTTCTTAAGGGCCTCACTTTCACTCGCTTTCACGGCTTCTACCTGAGCCGTAGCCGCTGCAATTTTCATTTCTGATAATTTTTCAGATTCTTCAACCTTTCGGCTTAATGATTCAAACTCGTCTCTTGATAGTGTGATCTGGGCACCTGGATCGGAAGTCGAAGCACGTGCAGCATCAGTCTTCTCAGACAGCATCTTGATTTCATCTAGGGCTTTAGCCTCAGCTGCCTTCGCTTCTTCAGCTTCTTCCAATGCAACTAATAGTTTCTTTTCCGCTGCTTCTAAGTCAATTCTAGTGGCTTCTGCTTCTCTCTTAAGTTGTTCTGCTTGCTGATTCATTTCTTCAACTTCACGTTTTGCATTTTCTGTCTCCAACGATACCTGGTGGATTGTAGCAACCATTTCATCAGATGCTCCTCGTACTTTGGCTTCTTCAACAAGGGCTGCTTCGAGCTCGGACTTGGCTTTCCGGAGTTTCACGTGCAGATTACCTGCAACAGATTCTGTTTCTGCTTCTTTCTCCTTCAATTCTGAATGCTCTTTTTTAACGTTATCCAATTCTAACTTAAGGGTCTCCACCAGGCTTCTCAGAGAGTTCCCCTCATCTGCCAATTTTTGTAATGATTCTTTAGCACCATCCAACCCTGAAGTAACCGTCTTCACAGAACCAAGATCCGAAGCCCTTGCATTATCCGTCTCTTTACGTAGCACTTCAATTTCTGACATAATTTCAGCTAGGTCAGTTTCCAACTTCATAGTGAGTTCAGGATTAATATCTTTCTTCAAAGCAAGCAATTTGTTCGCAGATTCTTCGAGTTTGGCTTTATAAGACTGCTTGTAGACATCCTTCTCAGAATAGACCCTTGCTTCCTCTTCCCGTGCTTGTGAACTTGCCATCTTCACTTGCTGAATCAACTCCTGTACAGTTATGATTTCTTTTGATAGCTCATTGGCTCTCTCCATGTTTGTTTTAGTAGCATTTTTGGCTTCTGCTGTTTGCTTGATGGCAGTATTTTTTGCTTCCACAGATGCATCATATTCCTGACGGAATTTCCGCAGCTCCTTCTTTGCCAGATCAAGTTCAGCCATTACAGCCATGTACTGAACCCGTGCAGTTTCTTGATCCATGTTGGAAGATCCATTAGTTTCTTTTGAATTGCTGTTGCCAGATTCTTCAAATTGCTTTGCATGATACTTAGCTGCTTCTGTAGCCTTAACTGCTGAATCCTTTGATTCTTTGATAGTTTGAAGCTTCCGCGTAAGATCCTCAACAGCCTGTTTAGCTCTTTCAAGCTCTACAAGAGCCTGCGCTTTAGTGGTCTCAGCATTTTTTAATTGTTCCTTCAACTTATTCAACTCTTTCTCGGCCAAGTGAAGCTGAGTCTCTTTTGCCAGCACTCTCTGAAAGTGGAAAATATAATACTTTGGCAACACATACAGACTTCCATATGTTTTATAACAGTGGAGTAAAAAAAATCTAATAATTTACTGGGGAAACTCAAGGTTGTCTGAACTCCTGGGGCATGTTCGGTACACTTTAATAGAGAGGAATGATCATAGCAAGATTTTACCTTCTTTTTCTTAGTACTCTCTAGTGGTGTCCAATTCAACTTACCAAACAATTTATTAGTGAAAATAGCGATAATCTTATATTTACTGGTGCATCAATAATAATTAGCCAAAATCTACATTTACTGGTGCCAAATCAACACTAAACCTTTAGCATTGCTTAACTTAAAGTAAACCTCGAGAGCTTGGCAAAACCATAAGAAATTTAAAAAGTAAACTATATGTCACAGAATGGTAAAATTAATCAGAACCTTTTCCCATGAGTCGTAATTCGTTAACCGTTAATGCTTTATCCACCATTCTAGCTACTGTGCAGGAGTACTATCACCTTAACTGCATGCTCAGTATGCATATTAGGCAGTACTCGACATCGAGAAGAAAAAGAATTTAGTTTCTTGTTGCTTCTAAATATGTTCAAGCGGTCTAATATACCTTATGATACATGCTAAGAGGATAAAGATTAGAACGAATATATATAAGGTAACAGAAGAAAAGATGTAGCATACTTCAGCAGAACGTGGTTTCGACTTTTTAATGGCAGGTTTTTCTCCTGAAAAGGCGCCTTCGCCAAATAAAGAGACAGCATCTTTGACTGATTGAAATGGTGCGCTAGTGTCAATCTCTCCAACCTCGCCTTTGGTAGATCCTTTGGTTTTTTGATAGTCTTTTGCCACCATAATTCTTCACCTGTTCTAACTCCAACTCTCGACTGTCAAGAACATACAGAGAAAGAAAGGGTTATAGAAAAGTAATGACCACAAAGAGGATCACCAATTGAATTAAATAAAGCACATCCTATTAATATCAAATTAAAGAGTAAAACAAAGTTGTGCATGATTTCATGTGAAGCTTCCATTAAGTGCAGGATTACAACATGGTATTTTACCATCTCGAATGTAAAAAATGATTTAGATTCCATTAGAAATTTTAGTGAAAACCCAATTTATTCTTTCTCGCTAGGAACATATAGAGCAAATAATACTCGTATTAAATTCCTTGAACTAAAAGATTTGGCGAAAGATAAGTAGTGGTGATCCATATGCAAAGTAGGTGTGTTAATGCATAACAAAACCTCGCATTTTTTTGTTTCGGATACAGTATGCCATCTCCTTGTGTGTATATATGCTTCGAAATACAGGCACACACTCAATTAGTCATAAATGAAATATAGCAGGTATATACAAAGAATTAAATGTTGTATTCCTATATTGCCAACTAACAAATATACAAGATTTGAAAAGCTCTAAAATGCATAAACTTCTAACATGATTATACAGATCTGATAGAGGGGCCCAATCAGAATCATATGAACTCACAGAAAGAATTTCGTCGATTCGTAAAGAAGAAAATTTGACGGATTAATTTCGAGGCACTTCCATTTCTTCAACATTTAAATACAGAAGATAATTTTCGAGAAATTCAGTTTCGATTGTCTCAGAAGCCGAATAACAGGGCAAACGTACTAAAACACCAGTAGCAATTCAGTAAATGTCAGGCAAGTAACTTTTTTTCAGCAAATATAGAAGAGCTAAAATCATTGGAGATTAAGCAGAAACTTATTAAGTCATCATAATTCAATTGTTGCATTAGCTATAACAAAGTACAACATGACTAAAATCTACAAATTTATTTGGTATTGAAGCTATGGACTAAATTTTACCTGAAAATTTATGCTTCAGAAGACTTCTTAATCTTGAATTTATCAAAAAAAATAATAATATGGGGAAACCTGAATTCACATGAAACAAGATAATTACTCACTCAAAGGTGAAAGCAAAAAAGTAAAGTAATAATTAAACAAGAGGAGCAGAAGGTTAAAACTGAAAAGTACAAGAACTCATAATTACTCACTCAAAAACCCTAATCATACCAGAGAGGGAGCAAGGAGACAAAAGTCACAAAAGGTTACTGTACACTCTAGAAATCATCAAAACTTCAAATCCCAAAAAGGGTTTTTTTTTTTTTTTTTTTTTAAATCTCATTAACAGTGGAAATTTTGATCAGCTTCTTCAATTTTCAATGGTCTTCCAAAGTCAAACTTCTTATCAGAATCTAAGAAGCATAAGCAACAAACCACAAAGAAAAATCCAAGATTCTGAAATTCTAAGAGCCCAAGAAAATCACATCACAATATATGCAGCCAAGAGAACACAAAAGAGGATCAAAAGATAAATTCTTTACTTTTCTAATAACTCAGAAAACGATTTTTTTGGTTGAATAAAGGCAAGAAAACAGAAGAGGGTTGTCAAGAAAAAAATTTAAACAGTAGACGTTGAAAATTCCTAACCTGTTCTAGTGTTCTTTCTTCTTGAATGATAAATAAAGACAAACTTTTTGCATAGTATATGAGCAAATAAGAGAGGAGAGAGAAGCAGTGCCACGTCAGTAAACAGCACCGGCCGAAGGATGACTAAGGGAGGTAAAGAAACAAAAGTTGATGGGATTTTCCAAAAAGTTGATTATTTTAGGAAAAATATAATTAATTACTTCCATTTCTTGGGTAGTTTGAAATTTGAATTCTGATTTTTATCTTTTGAAACATTGCAATAATAAAGATAGCTAATAATTTACCATAAATAGAAGAGAAATTTTTATTAATGCTATATTTTGAACAGTTGTGCAAGCGATATTGTAACTTTTGGGATAATTGCAATAGAGGTTCCAAATCTTTAAAATATTAGCAAATTTTTCTCAAATCTTTAATCTGTTGCAACCGTCACTCCAAATCTTTCGAAACTTTGCAGGAGAGGCCCTTTTGAACGACTTTCATCCAAATGTCCGTAAGTTGACTAAGAAATTTGACTTTGACCATATTTGTAATATTTTTAAAAGGGTAAAATAACAAATAACTTATTTTAATATAGTAAATAGAAGGGAAAATTGCAGTCGAGGTACCAAACCTTTCGTTTATTAGCAGATTTTGTCCAAACCTTTAGTTTGTGCCATCGAGATACCAAACCTTTAAAAAATGTGTGGGGCCAGTCCAAAATGACAATTTTCGTCTGTTTGACCGCCAAAATCGTCAGTTGACACCTTTAATGATAATTTCAAGAATTTTCCCCAAATAAGTGAAGGGCAACATGATCATTACACACATTTCCCTCCTCAACATCAAACACGTCAGTTGCAACTTCCTTCCACTCACCATCCATTATGGAACCTGCGAAAACCCACGAAGAAGACGAACATCCAGTGGATATTGCAGCCCATATTCGAGGCTCTCTTTCCCAACCCGTGTATGGTAAGTGTCTTCCCCTGTTTTCGATTTACGGTGTGAAGTTGTATGATTATGAAGTTTCCCTGTTTGATTGTGTTCACGTACTGGGGAATTCAAAAATTTTAAGTGATTTGGTGTATTAGAGTGTAATGCTTGTGTACTATCTTTTCTGCACATGTTCGTTGCTCGAACTGAAAAGGGCTAGGGCTTAACTTCCTTTTTATCGGTGTTTTTTCAGGGGAAAATTCAAAGTACTTCAGCATACGGCTTCATCATGGTGGAATTTTATTTCAGAAGATGAGAAATTTTGTGTATGAGCATGGAAAATTAAGTTATATAGACTATATTGACCCTGATTTCTTCAATAGATTTCTTTTGGACAATGCCGTGAAGATATTAGGATATTCTGATAGAATTAGATATCTGTACAAGATGCAGAAGAAAAGAATGAGTGAAGGTTCATTTTGGTTGGTTAAAGACTCAGATTTCATGAATTTAGTGAAGTGACTTGGTGATAATAGGACAACTGAACTATATTGCTTGCCTGTAGTTGAGGTTTTAGAGTTGCTTTGGGATGAAACAGAATAGAAGGATATTCAAGTGTTTGATTGTGAGACTAGTGAGGAGTTGGTGAAGGTTCAAAAGTCTGGTGAAGCATTGAATGAGCAGCAACCATGCTATGCTATTGAGATTTATGACGAATCAGTAGAAGGTGATGACGTGTATGTAGTTGATGAAGTGGATGACATGGAAGCAGATGAAGATGAAGTTTATACAGTGCATGGAATGGAGCATGAGAATACAGAGGTTGATTTTATAGGGGCTGAAGTATACTCACATGAATCAGAAGTGCATGCTGCTGAACCAGAGAAACCACATGATGTTGAACCACAGTTGAGGCCTGAACATGAGTTGCATGACGCTGAACCACAGTAGCAGGCTCAGCAGGAGCTGCATGCCACTGAACAAGAGGCACAGGCTGCTGAACATGATGCCGAAGCAGAGGTGCAACCTGCTGAAATTGATGTGCATGCTTCTGGACCACAGCAGCAGGTTCAGCAGGAGCTGTATGCCGCTAAACAAGAGGCGTGGGCTGCTGAACATGATGCCGAAACAAAGGTGCAGCCTGCTAAAATTGATGTGCATGTTTCTGGACCACAGCAGCAAGCTGCTGAACATGAGTTGCATGATGCCGAACCAGAGGTGCAGGCTGCTGAAACTGATGTGGAGTTTGGTGAACGTCCTGAGCTGGATGATGAATATAAGGAGGGTATTTTGAGATATGAATTCACTGACTCGGAGTACGAGCAGGAAGAAAATATTGTTGCGGAGGATAATGATGAAAACACATATTTCAGGTTGAATGAAGGTATTGACATTGGTGCAAGTGGTGAGCAGGAAGGTGTAAGGGATGTGCAGGAAGGTGAGGCAGCTGCTAGGAAAGAATCTGGAACAGAATACGAAGACTCCAGTGAGCTTAGAAGCTTACCCAGTGATACCGAGGCTGAGGGATCATCTGCCAGAAGGAAGAATGTGTGCTGGTTTAACCCTGCAACTAATATAAAAGATCCACAGTTCAAGCTAGGTAATGTCCACTGTTTTGTGTAACTCATTTCTGGTTTAATTCATTTGTATGATAATGCATTCTGATTTAATTCATTTCTGCCAGGGATGAAATTCGACAACGTCAAGATTCTAAAGAATGCAGTAGTTCAATACTCAGTCAAAAATTCCAGGCAACTAAGATAAGTGAAAAATATGAGGACACAGTTGAGAGTTCGGTGTCAAGATAATTGTCATTGGGTTTTGTATGCGTACCAACAACTCGACAAGAGTCTTAGAATTAACACATTTGTAGATGAGCATACATGCACCATGGTGTGGCAAAATAAAAGGGTTAATTCAGGTTTTCTGGCAAAGAAATACGTGAGAAAATACGTGAGAAAATTTAGGTCTGATCCAAACATTCCAATGAGTAGTTTTATGGAGACTGTGAAAGAAGACTGCATGTATGAGATTTCAAAGTATCAGTTCTACAGGACAAGATCGAACTGTGCAGAAGTTATTAATGGGATTGTAGTTTAGTAGTACAAAATTTTTTGGGATTACGGTGAGCAATTGAAGAGAACAAATTCAGGCAGTACAGTGCAAATCGAATGTTCGGGACATACTTTTAAGAGATTGTACATCTGCATAAGGGCTTGTAAGGAAGGGTTTAAGGCTGGGTGCATACCAGTTGTTGGGTTGGATGGATGCTTTCTAAAATCTGCAGAAGGTGGACAATTGTTGACAGCTGTTGGCATCGATGGTGAGAACTGTGTGTTCCCGTTAGCATGGGCAGTTGTGGATGCAGAGAACAAAACAAACTGGCAATGGTTCATAGAATTGTTGGTTCATGACATAGGGATGCACAACCCTCAAGTTTGGACATTCATTTCCGACAAACAAAAGGGTTTGGTGGATTCCATAAGTCAATACTGTGAAGGAGCGGAGCATAGGTGTTGTGCTAGACATCTTTATAGCAATTTCACCTTGGCACACAAAGGTCTGGTACTTAAGAACCTATTTTGGACTGCAGCAAGGGCAACAACAGTGTCGGAGTGGAAGAGTGCAATGAATGAGTTAAAAGACATAAGTGAAGAGACTTACAACTGGTTCCTTGACAAACCTCCTTCCCAGTGGACCAGATCCCATTTTGAAGAGCATTCGAGATGTGATATTCTTCTTAATAATTTGTGTGAGGCATTCAACTCTTCCATTGTTGTTGCCAGAGACGGGCCCATCATCTCCATGCTAGAGAAAATTTGGCATTAGCAAATGATAAGGATGAATGCAAAAAGGGAAGCGGCACAGAGGTGGGATCATGCATTCGGGCCAAGAATTGTGAAAATCATTGAGAAGGCTAAGTTTGAGGCAAGGTACTTGAAGGCAGACTATGCAAGCAACCAGAAATTTGAGATAAGCAGCAGAGACGATTTGAGGTGGAGCGTTGACTTGACAGAACATGCATGTGCTTGCAGAAAATGGCAGCTCACTGGAATACCATGTCCCATGCAATATCAGGCATGCTTTCAAGGGATATTGGCATATATGAGTACATCGACCCATGGTATAGCAAGAAGACATACCTGAAATGTTACTCCCCAGTGATCCACCCGATGTCAAGGCCTGAACTGTGGCCAGAATTGGGAAAGCATCCTCTCAATCAACCTCAGAAGAGAAAACAGGCTGGCAGACCCAAAAAATTGAGGAAGAGGTCACAGGTAGAGCCACCTGCAAGCGTTAAGATGGGAAGGACTGGCATGAAGATGACGTGTAAATGCTGTGGAGGGTCTGGACATAACAAAAGAAGCTGTAAAGAGGCACTGCCTGGTGAAGATAGTTCACAGCAACAGTCTCAACCAACCCACAAGAAGATACACATACCAGATCAGCGAAGGGGAAGAGAAAAGCACATTCAACGCAAACCTCCAAGTCACAGACAAAGAAGTCCAAGCATAAAGGATCGCAATCTTGAACATCATGTGATTTCTCTTGTATAGTTACCTTTTTGGGAAAATGCTGTGGTTTTTTGTAAACTGAACTGGAAATATATCTTCTAATGCTGTGTATTTTGTAGATGTAACTGGAGTTTTTGATGAAATTGTTCAATGTGATGACAATGTTGATGTCGAATATCTTGCATTATGTTTCTGCTGTTCGTCGTTGATTTCTGAAATTGTATTCGTAAGATCTGATGTGCAGGCGATTATGAAATATATGAGAATGTTTGATACTTCCTACGAACGTATTATCAAACGTTTGGTACCTTCAATGCAATGTTTTTAAAGGTTTGGTACTCTATCTGAAACTATTAGAAAAGGTTTGGTACTGATTCTGCGAATCGTTATAAGGTTTGGTACCTATGCTGCACCTTCTTCAGATAAGTTTGAAGTGTAATCTACTCTTTTAATTTCGCATTTGACATAGAGGCTGGGAAAATATCGTTAAATTTCAAGTCAAAAGGTACAACACAATTTTTCCTTTTTTACATATGCATTTCACAACATCTAGCACATGGCTCC